GTACTATTAGTTACCAACGAAACAAGAAATAAGAACAATAGAGTAGAAGAGAGTAGTAGGTACCGACTACAGAATAGGCCGTACGAACCTACGACAGCTCTCTCTCTCTCTCTCTCTCTCTCTCTCTCTCTCTCTCACACACACACACACACACACACACACACACACAAGGTTTTAGTCGATGGCAGCAAACTTTCATCTTTGAAAATACCCATGAAGCTATCATGATGAGGAGGAACAAACCTCAACGTCCCTCTGCAATATTTTTCTCCTCATGAAAGCAATAGCCTCATCTGCATATGGCTCATTACGTGCAGGACACCGAACACCAGAAAAGGACAAGGCAATGCTGCAAGTTTCTTTAGGAATTAGCAATTTGAACCTGTGCCCGCTTAATACATATTCCACAACAGCTGGAAGCTTTCTACTACGTTGAAGAAAGGGCAGAAAGTCCTTTGTCTTTTTTGCAGATGCCTGAGATATCATCATAAAACAGTCAAGAAATTGAAAATTCACCTTCAAAGAATAGGAACAAAGTTCGAATGAGAGCTCTTAAATTTTTACTGCTTTGGTATTTGATTATAGAAAATAAAAGGTGGGGAGTGCGGGAATCACTAACTGCTGTGAGATCGGTTATGTGCATCACAGGAGGGTCCTTGGCAGAATGGATCCCTTTCTTTCCATTGATTGCACGAGACTCGGCAGCCAGCAAAGCATCATAATAATTTGACCTTTCCTCGAAGTCCCTATGCCTGATCACTGAGGCAAATCCACGACTAACCACTAACTCAGCAATATTGATTCCCTGTTGTGCTTGGCTCCCAGTAGGGACATCATCACCATCAACCATGGTCTGAGACGCAAGAAAGACAGACCCAAAGTCCATAACCCTAGAATCTCCTGAACCAGCACTGGGTGCAGCACTGGAGCCATCAGCCAAGCTAACCTTTCTAGAGTACTCCATTGATACATTTACCTGACAAGGCATTGCGGAACACTTTTCCAATGAGTAATTAGAAATCAATCCGCCTAGTGTAAGCCAAATCATACCATGATCCAATGAAGTGCGTAGTATATGGTACTCCATAGGTGCATCCATGTCTGTTACCGATGATGGAAAGTGGAGATTAACTTAGTGGAGCCCAAAGGCATTCACTCAAGTACAGTTCATCTCTACTGTGTCTATCATCAGGAATGGATGGTTGATGCCTCCCTGGAGATTGTATTCCTATTCCATTGGATTATGGAGATTTCCCTTTAATCTAAAGGAAATCCATTGACAATTTAGCTAATGTAGGCCTATTGAAATGAACATTAGAAAAATGAAGAGGAAGAGTGTTATCAGGTGAATGTAGTCCATACTTGTCGACCTATTAGACGAGTGCGCAAAAATTCCTTGGCTTCACGTGCATATGAAGCGGGTTTCTCATCTCTTCGTGGATTTCCCATTTTTGGAGCCCTAATGCTTGACAAGTTGACTCGCCGTTCAGCTGAAGGGCTGCCATATGGGGCTGAGTCATCAGCCACAATAACACAGTCTCCACTTACGACCTCCACCACCTGAGAGTACCAAAGCAAAATCCTGTCATTCAATTTACTTGTAAAAGTCATAATTTAAAGGGGATGAAGACTTGAGTGTCGAATGTCTGAAATTCTGAATAGAGATGTTTTGAGAAAACATGTACCTTTCCAGTGAAGTTCTGGTCATGAATGGCCTTTGAATTTGTGGCAGGGGGGACATAGTTTGTCCATATTTTCAATCGATCCTTCTTGGCTTGAAGCTCGGCATTCTTCAATCTACGTTTGGCATCCTCTTCCATCATGTTCGCACTCCACTCGACATATTTGGCCAAGCCCTGTGCAATAGCAATTTCTGCATTTTAGAAATCTGAAGCTAGAAAGCAGGTAGAGACAAAGTAGGACATAAGGAACTGACATGGCAAACCCATTGAACAGTGAAGAGAACTTACATTGCGCTAAATGAAAGGGCCTAATAGAACCAGAAAAAAGATGGTTTGCTAAGCTTATAAGGTGCTACTTTGCCTGCTTTGTTAGATAGATGGAAAATTGTCCACCATAACAGCAAGGCAACAACTCCATATGTGCAGACAACGAAACAAGAACTAGTTGGTCCCTTAGACCTGCATTAATCTATCATGTGCAAGTCACTGAAGGTATATGGTACAATTCTTTTGTTTTTTTCCCTTTTGTGAGGAAGTAGATTACTTGAGGTTGCATTCTATGCTATTGTTTGGGCTTCCTACAGTTTCCAAGCACTCCATTAAATATTGACCAGTATATATTATTACAGAGTACCTCTTTATGAATAACAGGAGATTATAAAATAAAGAACACAGTAATTATTGTCAAGTATCTCAACTTGAAAAACTCAACGAAGAACCCCTATACCTTGTGATTTAGGGCTCAACTTGGATTCAGGTGGGTTAAGGGGGATGGTCAAGTTGCTGAATCCTAAGATGCAGCTAAGGGTTCCATTCCTCGATCAATTAAGCCAAGTGAGTGAAAAGTTCCAACATGTCTGATTGAAACACAGCAAAAGTTCGCCCATTCCCAAGTCAAAACTAATTCTTTGACAGAAAGTTCCAATAAGTGTTTAACTAGGAAGTACTGAGTCAACTTGGTGGACTCTAGAAAATTCTGTGAACCCACACAACCAAAGGAATAATACAATAAGATATGCTTAGAACTCTCAGAAAACAATTGAGGAGCACCAAAAGTGCAAGGGTACCCAATTGATCCAGAACATACATTAAATGCAAGAATAGCAAAAATGAGGATTGCAAGCATCGTTTACGTAAAAACCAGTATAGAAACAACACAAAAATATAATAATATCATACCCCCTATTATATCATACCCCCTAAACATGACATTCAAATTTTCATTTCCATGCCCATCATTACTATTGCTAAACAGTAAAAGCAAGGATAAATATACATTTTCTACAAGCCCCAATGCCAAATCCTTTGCTGAATCGCCTTCGGGGTAGTAGACTGAACCAATCAAATTGCTGAATTTGTCTACACCTTCCAGGACAATACGTACCTGCCAATCCCAACAACAATCAGAGAACAAAACATCATAAAATCCCATCATCAATTAGAGAGAAAAACATCATAGAACGCCATCAAATGATAGAGAACAGGCACCACAGAAAATGAAGACGAAGTCAGCTAAGAAAGGCAAGCACTCACATCTCTGTTTAGAACACGAACTTCTGTGAAGTGTTTAGCCTCCCTTGCAAATGGGTCTGGTGAAACATCAGTAGAGGCTACTGTAGAGGCTGCAAGTCTTTGCGCTGATGTTAGAGAAGTCCGGGCATCTGCTGAAACTTCTTCATTTGCTTCATTAGTCGTCTCCTCAGATTCAAGCACAGTTTCCACAGCAGCCCTTCTCCCCATTGATGGGGCCTGGTATATCATACAACATGTTGATGAAGATAATGCAATACAACATCAAAAATGTTTAAACATCTTCCGGTTTTAATTATGTACTGCAATTTTTCTTTGAAAATTAAACAGCACGATTTATTTATTGAAAAATAACTTGGGGGTAATTTTTGTCAGATTCTGTTCAATTTTCTACAGATTTCGAAACCCTTTCCCCTGATGCACATCACTTTTGACGATCCTTCATATCCCTATATTTCTATATCCGCTGTCTTCACTGTTTTGTGATTGGTTTAAACCATATGCTCGTGTGTCTTCTCATGGTTTCCTTTGGTAAGAAGATTTTAAACTTTGACACAACACTCATACTTCTCTGAAAGAACATAAACATTGTCGAAATTCAAAAAATGAATAAAATATCCTGATCTATCAACCTAATCTATGAAACAGTTTTTTTATACCAAGATAACAATGTTTTGGAGTTATCTTTTTCTCCATGACCCATTTCGATTAACAAGTTGTGTTTTCTATCCATGAAGAAACTATCAACAAATAGTTAACACTTCCAAAAAGGGGGAAAAAAAAATATCAACAAATTGTTTTTTCATAACACGGACACTTGACCCCTACTAGTATGACCATTTTATTTTCAAAGAAGCACATAGCTATTTTCATGTTTGCAATATGTGTACCACATGGGAGTGTTACAGAGTACATAAATACATTAACAATATACTGGAATCTTGTTATTGATGCTAACGCTTTACCTGGATTCCAGCGACAAAAACTTGAACAAATTGATATTCTGGGAGCAGATACACTCTCACAGCACTTCCGTCACGAACTTGCTCCACAATTGCCTGCATGGGTTTTCCTTTGTTCGAAGCCAAGAGACCCATGGCGTCCAAACTACTCGGATCCCCAATTGCAGAAGGAGGCAAATCCCTAACAGCTGCCTCTGAAGCACCAGGTTCCTGAAAATATGAACCAAGATACAGTATGGTTCGTCAAATCTCCATTTGCAATATGATATTAAGATGAGCAATCACTATATAAATGCACTAGCATATTATTCATACTGGCCTTGCTCCAACGCCCCGACCCTTGCTCCTTAGCTATTTCTTCAAGCCTCAGCAATTCTGCTAAGAAAGGGCTCACCTCATTTTTCTGTTGGCCCTGTTCTCTTACCTGAAAGATTCAAACTTAGTAGGAAGTCCATAGATAAATAACTGAACAGTCAGATCCAAATTTAGATGCTCATTAGCCTACAAGAATCTGATTTAAACAGGAAAATTACAAAATGTAATACTCATAAGCTTATGGGAATCTGATTTTGGGAAGAAAATTACCAAATTGAATTCCACAATACTATAATCTGATTTAAACAACAGTTACCACTTTCAAAAAGCAAAAAGATCTGATTTAACCAAATTGAAATGCTCAAAAACTTGCAAGAGACTGACTAAAATAAACAAAATACTAGGGAATAGAGTACCTTTGCCCAACCTTCAGCAACAACCAAGGCAGCAACATTTTTATCACCGAGGAAAATGGTACCAAATTCTCGGCCAATAGATGGCACTGTGTAATCAATTTTGAAGCGAACTTCCTATGAGAACAAATGCCACCATGTTAGCTATAAGGGATTGGATGTTACCATATGGATGATAATACTAAAATGAATACAAACCACTTTCTTCGTTACAATAGAACAATAAAATGCACTTTCGGAAAATTGGAACTGAGATCAAACAAAAGAAAACCAACAAAATCGAGATCACCTGTCCAATCAAGAGTTTCCTTAAAAATTCTCTACTTTCCCATGCAAATGGCTCATCCGGAGTACCCCTACGAGCCTGTAACACAAAAGGGAGAATTTACAGTCAGTTCTCAACCAAAAAAAACACCTCAACACACTGTCAGATGTAGCAGGTTTCAAAAGCACAAATTTGCAAGCTAAGAAACATTGGGCCCATTGAACAAAAGAAATATCTTGGAAGCAAAAAAAATAAAAATAAAAAGATAAAAATAAAGAGATTCATCTCATAAGTTTTTTTTTTAAAAAAATTGTATTTGACAATCATATCATATCATATCATATGTATGCCTTCTTAAGGTCTTATAATTGACTACCAGTGAATCACCAAATATATAAGAACTTTATATCACCATGCACTCTGGAATGCCATTAACAATTAATTAAGTTGTTACATACTAGATGAAGCTTGGAATCCATTATTTTCAAAGAAAAAGAGGCATTTTCTTGAAGAAAAATAATCAATTAGAAAAAAGAGAGCTCTTCTTGTGTAAGAACTTAAAAGCCCATGCATTCTGAGATGCCATTACCAGTTAATTGGGTCACTATTCAGACACAAGATATTGCTCTCTGGAGAGTAAATCTGGCTATCATACAAAGTACATTGTTGAAAACCTTTTTCTCTAAAGTGAAAATAAAGCATCCCCTGAAAAAAGAAATCAAAAGTGATTTTTATTAGGATATTCATCTTAATGCAAAAACTTTATGTCACCATGCATTCTGAGATGCAATTACCAGTTAATTAGCTAAAGCATTATACAATTTTTACTTTCAGCCACATGATTCTGCTCCAATACTCATCAAAAAGTTAAAATCAATAACTAAATCAAATAATCAAATCCTCAAAAAAAACCAGTTAAAACAGAAAGAGGAGATAAATCAACTCAAAAAAAAAAAAAAACACTTGTTTTACAAGTCAATACGGGATAGATACATAAATAAATACAT